GCTACCTAGTTGACTTTAGGTAATCAATCATACTGGATCAGAATATCAGAGTCTAAGCTACCATATTCGAAATTTTTCATTTTTCTGAAGAGTTTTAGTTTTTGTTCAGCGCGCGTTTTTGCTTCTCAATATTTTGGTAATCTGTCTCTTTTGCATATTTCAGATGCACTTTATCACATGATTCTGAATACAGACTTGTTCTGGCAGACGCAACCATATAAGATAAGAAGATGTGTCTACAAATAATTCCTTTCTCTTCATTTAGACGAAAAGTGGCTCTTATCAAAAAGAAACAAAAATAAAAAGAAAAGATAGCCGTTGTGCCAGAACTTACAGAACGTTAGAACATTTTCTGTAGGGGGTGAATGTGAATTTTTTTTAATGTTTTTTTTGAAAATAGCAATAAATATAACATAGTATAATCTGAAATATTAAGTTTTGATCTGCAATGTGCAAAAGAGACAGATTAACAAAATAATCAGAGGCAAAAATTCGAAAAAGCTAAAACTCTTAAGAAATGTAAAGTTCCGAATACTCTAACTGAGACTCTGATATTCTCATGCAGCATGGTTAATTACCAATAGTCAACTAAATTTTGATTGAAAACTGATTTATCAGCTGGTGGACTTTCCTTTTAAGTAATATTTATCATGCATTGTATGGAATCAACATTCGTCTGAATTGTTTAATTGATAACATAAAGATAATTTCCACAAAGTGACAAATGTTCTAAATATGCTCCCTTTTGTTTCAACAAAATAGGATAGTGTTTCATTTAATTTCCTAATTAAATATAGTCGAAATGAAAGATCAAACAAAAAAATTGTTGCTAGTTTTGGATAGCTAAATAGTGTATTGGATGAAAATTTTAAACGACATTATGTATCATAGTTTCGCAATAGTGCACAATACTATATACTCTAACTTATTGTTAAGGTATATTCGGACGAAGAACGAATGCCTATTGATGCACTTTAGCCGAATACACTGTTTAACATTCACATATATTATCGTTATGTGCGGTATTTCGTCTATCTTCAATTATTGTGTATTTTCTATTGCATTGACACTACGAACATCTTGATTGATGTGAACCACTTTATGAAAGTTCTTTTCTGATTAACTTATTTGATTGTCTACCTACTTCTATTGTTCATATTGACATGGAAAATTATTTGATACTGGACAATTTCGAACTAACTTCTCAACTTGCCTTTAATGCGACTTGGTCGATATTAAAGATGAAAGATCTTCAGTCGTTTTCTGAAGCCCACAGCTCACAAACAAATGTATCAAGATCAAATGCATTAGCTTGCACCAATATATTAGGTGACGATGATGATTACAGCAACCAAGAGCATACAAAGTGTCAGTTGAATATCCTCGAAAATAACATAGTGAAGTAAAAATATGCTAAAAGTGAACTGACACATGATGAAAAAAGTCTTTGGTAGCTCAGCATCCACGATTCAATAAAAAAACCTGATCACTTACAATTTTCCTACTTCTTTCTATTTAATAGAACATCCAATATGGTAAATAACGTTTACATAAGTGTTTTCATTGTCAGTAAGAACTAATGAGACTATAATAAAAAAATGATTTGTTCGACCAAATTTTCCTTTTTTATATTACATTTACTGTTCCACCATAGATCGATACAATTATCTGAGAGGTACATATGCTCAAGAAGAATCCCGACAAAGAGTATAAGTGTGAATATCGTTATTGGCATAGATTTAGAGAAGACCTATAACTAGACATTCACACCCTTCAGGTTCTACACAATATTTAGAAACTGTCTCTCAACATCTGACAGATATTTGTCACAGCTATGATGCAGTTTCCAAACTTTTATTTTACATGAAACAGTATACTATTTAGGTTTTTTCACGAATAATAACAAAAGTAATGAGATCATCTTCAATCGTAGAAAAAAAAGCAAATGATTCACGATTCATTTGATATCTTTCTGTTTCTAAAATCTGATCAATATTGCTAAGTACACGTTATTACTTAGTTACTGATAACGATAAGATGAAACCCAGTATTGGTGCTAAATGTCATAATTATCGATATACACATGAATGTTTTTACTACTACAATGATATCTATCGGATCAGATCGGGTTGCGATCTGAGATCATATCGCTGCTCTAAATAAATAGATTCTATAAATAGGTCAAAAAACGTATTTTTTTTTATGGAAATAAGAAAGAAAAAGATAATTTCAAATTTTCATCTAATTTAAAATCTTATTGCATATTAATTCATTTTTATTTTCAATATGATGTTAAGTTTCCACATATAAATATGTGTGCAATAAACAAACAAAATATATATTACCAACGATAATATGTTTAACAAGAATTATGCACAAATCACAAAAAAAAACATATTTGTTTATTTTTATTAAATATTGTTACGTTATACTTGAGCTATGATTTCTAAAAATTACAAAAAAAAAAACAATTTTTTTAAAATTTTTTTAATAACTAAATAATTTACTTCAATTAATTGTTTTAATTGTTGTTTAATTTCTTCAAATGATTGATTCAATTTTGCTAGATCATCTTGTATATGTCGTAGATTATTATTTGAATTATCTGAATCATTTATGTTATCATTTGTATCTTCTCGTTTTTCATTACTAGAAAGATTTGAACTATGAGTTGTCCTACATCAAAGAAAATTTCTTTAATTAAAAAAAAAAAATCTTTTTCATTTATTTTTCTTTTTGATTTACGTTATTGATTCAGTTTTCGATGCTTTTGCTTCTGTTTGAGCATATTCATATGTTGATGCACCTTCAAATTCATACCAATCTTTAGTAGAACTTTTATTTATCGGAATCATTTCTAAAAGAAATATTAAAATATTTCAAATAATAAAACAAATTCATTTCAACTTACTAAATACTTTTGCACGAGGATCAGCTGATTTTTTAAAGCAAATACGTCTTATATTAAAGAATGTTATACGACATAGATAATATAAATCATAAATAAGACTTATTGGTGGAAAAAATGGAGAACGTGTATAATATTCACGTGTAAATAAATATTGTTGAGAATGCCAAATATTTTGTGTATCTTCATATACTTGATCAAATCGTTTACTTTAAAAATATTAATTAATTCTTATAATTATCTATGTTTTTTTTAATACTTACCTAAACATTGCAATAAGTAAATTAGTAAGTAGAATATTCACAAAAAGCATATGAACAGCAAGTAATACATGTGTTGATATTGACCAAGCAGCACTATTATCAGTTTCTATTTGAAAACAAAATTATACAATGACACATATATTTAAGGATTTCATTTTTAGATTTTCATTTCTAGAAATCCGAAATGTATAATAGTCTCACATAGAAAAATAGCAACGAGAGGTCTAACATCCATTATATACTCGAAAAGCTAAAATCAGCACTATCGTCAATATACCACAAAGTACACCAGTTAAGCTCAATTCGTTCTCATATAGAAAAAAAAACAGACTTTTTCATTGAAGACCAATAAACTACTTGATAAATCCATATTATTTACATACCATCAAGATAAGATAATTCATTACCAAATTCTCCATACATTAAATAATAAATCGGATATGCTATTTGACGAAAAATACTTCGACCATCAAAATCAGTGCTGAAATCAGTTAAATTAAATCGATTAGCATTTGGATAATAAGCCATTGAACGAGAAGCAACACCATAACCAGCCATAACAATAAAAATAATGCACATAAAAAATGCAAGATCTTTTAGCTAGAAGAGAAAAAATAATAATAACAATAAAGATTGGTTTTTATTCAAATCGAAGAGAAAAATTATAAATACCATTTTTCCAATAGCTACAATATGTGGTCCAAGAAATCGTACAACAATAATAAATGATAAAGAACGAAGCCACCAAATTTCTAAATCAATAGCCATTATCACCCTAAATAAATACAACTTAACTATTATTTGAAAATATTCCTGACTTATGTACCATTATAAGTTAGAGCGAGAATTTTGTGCTCTTTTTGAATATCGACTAAGAAATTTTCTCTATTTTTTTTTTTTGCTCGATAGTTGTAAAAAAATCTTTCAAAGTCTATATTGAACTTCCAAGTGAAATTATGAACATTTTTTTACAAGTTACATTCTATGTCAAGCGTTTTTTCGTCAAAACCTCAATTTTTTTGAAAAATATATGGAAAAAATTTTCAGACTTTTCAAAGATCTTCTAACTACTTTTGATCAAAAAAAGAAAAACATCTATGAATACATTCAAAAAAAAAAACAAAATTCTGGTACAAACTTTCGCACCAATCTTTATATATATAGAATTTAGTTTATATGATTAGTGTACCTAATATTTCATTTTGTGAAAGAAAATCTTACCTAGCTGCTATAAATTGTTCATCGGTATTTGCACGTGTAAATCTTAGAATTAATCCAATATAGAATAGAATAAATCCAACAATATTCATCATTTTAAATAAATTACGAAAATAACTAATAAATTTTCCTGGTAAAGATAAATTATCTAAGCTGAAGAACTAAAATTTTAAAAACAAATAAGTTATTCTTTTTTTTTTTGTGTTATCACATTTAATTATATATTATTATTTACATAATGAATTTCTTCAATTAACATACACGAAACAAAAATAATTGTTACAATTTCAGTCCAATAAATTGATGGAATTTGATTTTTTGGTAATTCAAATTTAAATAAAAGTGTATAAGAAAAAAGTAACAGAAAAAAACAATAAAATATCTAAAATAAATTTCATTGATATTATTAAATAAATAAATAAAATGAAAAAAGATTTCTTAGAATTTTCTTTTTGTTGAATACATACACAATGATACAAATATTTCATTCGTAAAGCTTGATGAAAATTTTTCACTCGATGCATATATTGATTAATCGGTAATATTTTAGTATAACGAGGATATTCAATTGGATACGGATCAGAATAATTTATACCATAAGATTGTAAACTAAACACAACATCATATTGATTAAAATTTATTATTAGATGTTTTTTTTTCAAATTACGTACGATCGATGAAGTGGTTCATCTTTGGGTCCCTAATCAAAAAATAATATAATTATCTTATCAAAAAAAATTTTTTTTTTTTTATTTAATAAATTTAGTTCAACACTTTGATATCCTCGTATTTCTCAAAAAAGTCACTTGTCATTAGGATCACCGAGATTGAGACAAATGCAGGAAAAGATAGTCTGTGATCTAATCTCTCATTAATGATAAAAATTTTTACTCAGCACTTTTGTTTTGTTTCGTTTTATAAGTTTTCGATTGTATCTATTGTAGCCAATAACTTTTATTTGTTTGAAAACTCATATTTAAGGTTAGCTGCTCTTATGACTTTTTTTATTATCATATAACAGCGTCATTTCCAAACATATCCTGGTCTAAGATCGATTTTTAAGAGAGGAGAGGGGCCTCTTAATGTTGATTTTCAATGTAATAATTCACATGTATAAATATAATAAATTCTAACCGTTGCACCATTGCGATAATGGACTACAAATGGAGCCAAAAGACCAAGTGAAAAAAAGCCAATAACAATAGAAAGTGCATTACGTTTTCTTGATTGTTCGGGATAAATTTTATCAAACCAAATATTATTCATTGCTTGAACACAACATGGTGTTGCAATAAATAATTTATCTTTTGCATCAGAAGCAACCTTTTCAATAAATACAAAATAAAAAAAGCAATCATTCATTTAAAAAAAAAAGAAAAATAAAACATATGATTAATTTTATACTTGAAGACAAGTTACATTTCCATAAAGTTCAATACGTTGTAAAATAATTTGACATGCTTGATCTGAATCATTTTTTTCACATTGTGTTATACAATCAATAGCATATTGTTGAAAATAATTAGCATTTTTCATATAACTATCTTTTAATTCACCATGTGTTGCTATAGAATAATATTGTTTTAAAATTTTTGTAGCTAGTAATGCAGCACATATACGATATTTCATATGAGATAAAAAAACTTTAGCCATATCAATATGATTCATAAGTATTGACCATAAAAATAAATCTCTCATTATATAATCTTGTATTATTTGTCTATTATCTTTAGATATAAGATTATCTTGAGATCCAATAATTTGAACATTTATTTGATTTTGTTCGGTATTCAATTCATCTAAACCCCATAATAATCGATATGTATTTTCATGTTCTTCACTATTAAAATATAATTTATTCATATAATCACCAATAAGTTTACTAAGAACAGTATTAAGATCATTAATTGTATGAATACGTTTTTTCGTAAGATCAGGTTCAGATTCAATAAACCAATTTAAATGAGTTGTAACATTATTCTATAAAGATATGAAAATGAAATTCTATTTTTTTGTTTCATTTTATTCAAAGATATAACATACCATGACTTCCTTTCCATTATATAATGATTTAATAAATGTTTGATATCGATATGATCCGTTATGGAATTCATTGTTTGGAAAGAATATTTCACTTGGATCAATACCCAATTTAAGAAATTCATAAACAAATGTTGGTAAATTTTTTGTTAATGCATATAAAAAAGCTTGTTCTTTATTCTAAAAAACCAAATACTAATTATTTTCTACAAAACTCTTTAAAATGATGAGAATAAAATGTCTGAAAAAAACATGGAAATACATTGTATGTATCTCCGTAAATTTTTTTTTCGAGCTTCGATTTTGTTGAAAATTTCACCATAGAAACAGTTCATAGTGTAGACTTCTATGGTTAAAGTTTTGAATGTTTTTTTTTTTCGTATGATTAGAAAGATATTCGTTAAAAACTTTTTAATTGATAATCAGAAGAAAGAATCTGTTTGATCGAACTGAAAATCTTTTCTCCTAAAAGATTCGATATGGCGAATCAATTTTAAAATAAAACTTTTGTATTTCAAATGAATGAGAATTTATTGTAAAACTCGATGTAATTCTATAAAAATAAAGTGAAATATAAATTATTCATACCAAAATATTATCTAATGAATTTTGTAAAATTAATTCTTTTGCAACATCAATACAATTCCAATCCATAGCTAATAATAATAATTGTGATCGTTGTGCATTTTGATCTTTTTTATTAACATTTTGACGTGCATTTGATTGTCGTTTTTTATCTTCTAAATTTGGTTGTGGTTTCAATCGTCGTTGATTCATATCAATTGTATCATTTTGATCATTTTCTTTTCTTTCAAAATATTTTTGACGTGCTAAATAAATTCATATATATATTTTTTTTCTTTAAATAAATCAATGAAAACGAAAAACAAAAAAAGAATACATTTAACATACATTTACAAATACTTCGAAAAATTGTTTCTGATAAATTATTATCTGAATTTAAATTAAATACTGATATACCAGAACGAACAGCTGGTTGAAGACAATACATAACTTGATTAAGTGTTAGATCTAATATCTTTGATTGTTTATTTTTTGAATTATTTGATGATGATGTTTTTCGTTTTTTCTTATTGAAACTTTCATCATGTGTTATTATTGGTTCAAGATCTGTTTTAAGTTGTTCAGCATATTTACTAAACATTTTTTCAAGTCTTTAAAATAAAAATTAAAAAAAACAAAACAAAAAAAAAATAAAAACAAATTTTTTTTTTAAAATTATTTACGCCTTTCGAGATTTATCAAGTTGTAGTTGAACATATGTATAACTATTAGAAAAAAATAAAACAACAATTAAATTTTCAAAAACAATTAAATTTTACCTTAATCTTGGATTTTCTACACTATTTCGTTTTTCAGATGAAGTTGTTACAGCTTCAACTGATGTTAATTTATCTAGTTCACCAAGTTCATAGGCAGTATCAAAATCTTTACTAAGATTATCAAATTCTTTTGTATATAATAACCAATGTTTGAAAAAATCAGCAACACGACCGCTACCCTATTTATTTTTTGTATAATATTATGTTGAATTCTCATTTTATTCGATTTACTTACATCAATAATCACAACAGGAATATTAGCTCGCAAATCATAATATATATTTGTTATAGTATCTCGACCACCTTCTACCACAATAGTAACAACAGGAACTAAATATTAAAAAACAAAACAAAAAATCAATAAAAGTCTTTCAGATTCACACCTGTGAATCGTTAAAAACAAGCGGATTAATCTAGCTTTAATTTCCTTAGAATCTGAAAAAATACTTGATCAATGAATCATTCCTGAACCATTAAAACACGTAAAATTTTCTCTACAAAACAAATATTAAATGGTCTTTAAAATATCTTAAACTTTTAGAACACTGACATATATGAAAGACCTTTTTCAATATAAAAAAATTTATTTTTTTATTTTTTTAAATAACTAATTTTACTTATATTTGATTATTTTTTTGAATATAGATTGCCATCATCAGAATAGAGAAATGTGCGGAACTAGATTTTTTGGATGTCGGCAACTTCTTTTCTAATGTCCTGATCTCAGTCTCGAGACAAAAATTTCAGAGTTTATTCAATTCACATGTAAAATAATTGTTCAATTTTCGTTTTGTTTATTTAGTCTTAAACGACTTTTTTCCTCTACTCTTATTGAAATAGTAGTTTGAATAGTTAAACATTTCATTTATAATTGAAATTTACTTAACTACTGAATATAAGATCTAACTTTATTTGATTCAATTCTTGACTGACAAAACTTCAATAAGTTTTTCTTCTGGTTTTCATATTTCTTTAATATAATTGAAATGATCAAATCAATATACTTACCAGGAAAATCAATTTCATGTTGTAATTTTGCCATATGAACACATAATCGTGTTCGATAATCTCCTGTATCATAATGTCGAAGTGTTCCATCATCTAACATCAGATAATGACTATGATTCATTTCAAGATCACGTTGACCACTTTCACGTTTTTTTACTTTTTCATCACTAATTATCATATTATAGTTATCCATCATTTTCTCAAAAAAAAAACAAAACAAAATTAAAGTAATATTTATGAAAATACAAATCTAACCTGATGGTTTCTAGGTAGAGGTTGTATTAATTCTTCAACATTTTTTACACTTCCCCATTTACAAATTCCAATAGCTGTTATACTTTTTTTTGGTTGTGTTAACTTAACTTTATTAATTGCTTGTCCAACAACTTGAACTATACCAACATTATATCCATTTGTAATTAACCATGCATCTATTTAAAATAAACTTTAATAAATTAACTTAAAAATTTTAATTGAAATTTTACCTGATTTAAGAGCAACATCAATAATACCATTAATAAAATTTGTTTCAAGTCGATCAGTCAATGTAAAATATTTTGCACCACCAATAATTGACATAATTAATCGAGGTTTTGTAATTTTCCAAACATCAAGAAGAATTCTTTCTACTTTTCCTTCAGATGTATCCAAAGCAAGTTGTGTAAACTAATAAATAAATATGAATAAATATTAATTCATAAACAAACCAGGCTTTTTTTTTATCTTACTAATGCACCATTTTGAAGTCTACCATGAGCAGGATTTAATTCTTCATAAGTATTACGAAGCATATCCCATTTTGTATCTTGTAATTCTATATCAGTGCTTTTATGAGCTTTTCTCGGTCGATTACATATACAAATATGTTCTTCTTCATCACTAACATTAAAAAGAAAAAGACGAAGAATATTAATAAATTCATTGCATTATCAATGTATAAAAAAAAAATTCACCTTTTTTTAACAAATTTAAAACAAACACGATAACGAATATTTAATTCATTATAAATATCTTCAGCAGTTGGATCTTTATATATTGGATTTAATAGAAGTGGATATTTTCTATTCATGATTGATTGACAACTTCAAAGAATTATTTTATATCGTATGTAAAAATGAATATTGACAGTAAATGTTTTTATAGTGTAATGTAATTGTTTGAATCAACCTAGTTGTGGGCGATATAGTAACCAGGTATTATGACTTTTTGTTATCGTGCAAACATGCATGTAAAGAAAAAAATCCTACTTCAATAAGCTAAAGAATTGACGACAAAAAAAAATTCTTTTTTTTTGTTCTTGTTGCTGTGTGTGTTGTTATACGAACATGCATTGCTTTATCAAGGACTATTACAATATTGTGTAAAGTCAAAGCATAACTATCATTTTCAACTGGTGAAAATAAATTTACTGATAAAAACTATTGAGTTAAATAAAAAAAAAACTATGACTGATGATGAACTGTTAAGGTAAGAAATCTCGAAGATATCGTCTATTAATTATTATCTTTGTTTGCAAACAGTTCGTACATAAAAAACCAACAAGATGATGTAAGTTGATAATAAAATATGTCTTATTGATTATAATTCTTTGTTTTTCTTTTTTGTATATTGAGAAATATGAAAAATTATGGCAAGATTTACAAATTGATTTTCATCTTGAAGCTTTAAAATTTCCAGATAATAAAATCTATGGAACTATTCATATTATACCAGAATCATCACGTAAACTTATTAAAAAATTTGTTGTAAGTAATTTAAAAGTATTCTATTGTTTATTTGTGTTCCATGTGTTTTTCTATGATAGTTAGTCATTGATGAATTAAAACGAATTGAATTTGATCCGTATTATGAAAATTTAGCAGCATCAGGTTTCAATACAAATAGAAAAAATTCTTCGGCTTATATTCAAGCTATACCAAATAATGCAACATGGGCACGAGAAGATAAAAGATCAAAAGTTTCTGTATGTCTTCTTTTAGATAAAGAACAAAAAAATAATAAGTTTAAAAGTTATTTCTTTTTTATAGCATTTTTATTTTACTGGTAAAATTTTTGCATTAAGTCCATCAATAAGTTTTAAATGGTCAGATGATGATAAAAATTCTAAACCAAATCTTATTATTCACTGGTATCATATTGGAGATCAAAAGGCTCAACGATATATACTTTATTTAGATGATGAAGAAATTCAACATGTATGTTTACTTTATTAGAAATAAAAGAAAAAGAAATAACTTTTCAAGATTTATTTAGATACGTCAAAAACAAATCGAAGATTCATTTTATGTTAGTATTTCTAATTTAGAACCTGGAAATAATCATACTTTCCAACTAGCAGCAAGACTTAACAGTATGTTGATTTATTCTCTTATATAATTTCAATTTTTTTTTTTTTTTTTGAATATTTTAAAGATGGTAAAGAAACCTATCGATCAGATGTTATAGAATTTACTGTACCTGATAAAGAATCGATAGACAATGATAATCAAGAATTTATTACTGTATCTAATGAACCACCACCACCCGATTTACCAAGTATGGTTTAAATTCTTTTGTTTTGTTTATATAAATAAATATAACATGCACATAACGCAAAATTGAAGTGAATTTCATTTTTCACTGATTTATATATGATATAATAGAGTTTACTACGGAGTTCTATCTTTTTTTTAAAATTAGTGTAACTATTCATTACAAAATGTTTCAAGTATTAATAAGAAAATAGTTTTTTTTTCTAATTTTGTATAAAAAAACCTAAGTAGAAAAGTATTATTTTCTTACAGTTAAATTAAAATTGTCTTATCTCATTTCAAATAGTCAGTTTCCAGCTACGATAGTACCCATATATTGTTTCATTGTTGATAAAATCGAACATAGCATATGACGAAAATTTCAGAAAATGCTGGGGAGAAGTTTAATTGCACTTTCCATGTGAGTGATTTTGCTAAAATGTATTTAGCTCACTGTAGACTTTCATGGTGATTCTGCCTATTCTGTTTTCCTACTGATTTCTGATCATAGAAACTACAATAAACAAGACTATTTTACTAATAAAATGAAGAAATATTCGATTTCATCTACAAAAGTGTCTATAAATACATACTGCAGTTTTTTATATTGAATTAGAATAAATACACTCATTTCCAAAGAGTTTAGAAGAAAAATTATACTGAGTGAAGCGAAATGATTGCAACATCGGATGCTTGGCAAATACCCCAAGGCACAGATCGATGCTTTCGACTGTCGGAACCGACATCTTATCCGATTTGAAACGTTTTTATTCATGCCGTAATCCGTCATACCAGCTTACGAAACGTGTCTCGCCTGAACAGAAACAATGTCGTTTCCGTCTAATAACAATCAACTGTATTGTCGTATACGGCTCATTTTCATTACTCGAATTTCACGCTAGGTAGCATCCTGCTTATATTTTCATTTCTTATACGAAATATTTCATTATATAAATAGCATTTCTCAATACAGATTTATCCTGACAAACTACATTCACAATGGATATAAGAAAAAAGGGTATACGCGAATGTACCAAAAAAGAACGTTTTTTTTGTAGATACATTAATTCACTGATTAAAATAAGAATATACTTTCACCAATATATTTTTTAACAGGTAGTTTGAATAGATTTTGTACTATGCATTTAGAAGACAAATGAATTGATTCGATTATCTATAGCACTTGCCCATTTAAAAAAATAGCGAATGAAGAACTTCAGTCGATAACTCACTATGAATATCATGGTAGTAATCATGTGGCAAGACATCAAGACATTTTTATAGGTAGTATATCATATCGTTGAATAGATCTCAATTACATCTATTCATCAGTACT